TTTGAGTGGAAGAAAAACATGTAAGTGTATATGGGGGGTGTGTATGTGTGTGTGTGTGTGTGTGTGTGTTACACCTCTTTTCCACTTTGCAGTCTCAGCTCCCATTGCAGGGACAGAGACAGATACTTAGCTAGCATCTGCTGAGTCTGAATCTCTGTATATGTTTCAAAGTCACTCTTCAATGGCCTATTCATACATCCAACAAACATTAATGGGGCACCTACTATGTGCAGGGCCTTGTGCCAGCACTGGAGATAACATGGGAACCAGACGGGCAAAGTCCCTGCCCCTGTGGAGCTTGGCACCTGGGGGAGAGTCAGTCAGGGTTAACAAATGTTAATATTTAATGTTAACAAATAGTTAACATTAAATAACTGGTTTATAACAACATCAGACAGTGTTTAGGGATAGGGGAAAAGTTAAGTATCTAAGGGAAGAGAGAGGAATGGGCAGTAGCAGGGGTAAGAGTAAGAGTTCAAGGCTCAGGAGACAGTGTGAGTGCCTCAGCCATGCCAGGCTGACATCCTAAGCCTGAGATAGAGCTACTATCCCCATCCCATCTCGGAGCACCTCCCTGTCCCAAGTGCAGGCAAATCCTTTCTGGCAAAGGCCTCACTCCCCACCCCAGCAAAGCCCCATCTCCACACATTCATTCCGTCATTTGTCCCAAAGACATTTATTTGTTAAGTATCCATATGGGCCTGATGCTAGGGGCACAGAGTCACAGCGTGGGAGTCCCAGCCAGTTCCCACCCAGCTGGTGGAGGCCACATAGGGTATCCAGAAATCTACAGGTGACTTTGTGAAAGGAGCATCTGGTCCCTAGGGCTTTAAGCACCCCATCAGCTTTAAGCACATGCTGTGTCCCTGTGGGTGACCAACTTGTTGTAAGTGATTACAATAGTAGCGCGGAGTGTCCTTTTCAGTGTGAACCTATCGCTCTTCTCATCCAGGGATGGAGTCTATTTCCCTGCCCCTGAATCTAGGCTAGCCTTTCATATTAGTTTTCTAGTGCTTTGTAAAACATTACCACGAACTTAGTGGCTTAAAACCACTAAGTTATCATTCAGTCTCTATAGGTCCGAAGTCCAGGCACAGCTTGGTTGGAGTCTCTGCTGTGTGTCTCCCAGGCGGAATCGAGGTGTCAGCTGGGGCTGCCTTCCCATCTGAAAGCTCACAGGCTGAAGTCCTCAGTTCCTAGAAGCCACTCACTGTCCTGGCACCTGGCTCTCTACGTAGCATGGCACTTAGCTTCTTCAAGGCCCAAAGGAGGGTAATTCTGCTCCAAATCTCTCCCTCCATGAAAGGTCTTTCAAAGAGGTCACCTGGTTAGGTCAAACCAAGATAAACTCCCTTTGAGTAAATTAAAGTCAACTTTTATGTCATTTTAAGCCACTATGTTTGTAGTAATTTGCAAGTGACAGCAAATCTTACAGGCTTAAATTTCAGTCTCAGCCACCCTGGGCAGTAGGTGCCCTTCCCACCTGACAGAGAGCTCCTGGCCTGGGAGCTTTGTTTCCTGATGGTTTAACACAAAGCCTGACCCTTAACAAGAGCTCACAAATGCTGCTGAATTAATGTTTACCTGTTTCATCCTCCTGTCTCCCTCAGCCTGAAAACACACACACTCTCTCTCTCCCCATCCCCCCTCATATGCACACAACTCACAATCCACCACCACCTACTTCCTCCTGGGAAGGCATTTCTATTCTTACACTGAAGCTCTCCTTGGGCTGGCCTGCAAATGGCAGTTTCTCAGGAGCATAATGATTTTAAGGGAGGGCAGGGAAGGATGGATCTCCAGAGTAATAACTGGGCAAATTTGCAGGGATGTGGTTGGTTTGAAGCCTCAAGAATTGGCATTGCAGAGGCTGGGCGTGGTGGCTCACACCTGTAATCCTAGCACTCTAAGAGGCCAAGGTGGGTGGATTGCCTGAGCTCACAGGTTCAAAACCAGCGTGAGGCAGAGGGAAACCTCATTTCTAAAAATAGCCGGGTGTTGTGGTGGGCATCTATAGTCCCAGCTACTTCGGAGGCTGAGCCAAGAGAATCAAATGAGCCCAAAAGTTACCCCAGGGCACTCTACCAAGGGTGACAAAGTGAGACTCTTCTTTCCAAAAAAAAAAAAAAAGGAAAAAGAAGAAGAAAAAAAGAATTGGCATTGTAGCACAGAAATGCAAAGCTCTTCTTTGCTAATGAAGAAGTGATGTGAGCAAGAGACAATCTTGAACCCTTCCCACATCCCCATTCTCTCCCACCCCATCTCAGCCCACCACAGCCACTGAAATGATGGTGACATCTATATTTAATAACACTGAAATAAGTCCCCTTGATATCATTAAGGGGAAAAAGCAGATTCCAGAAAAATGTGAATGGTACAATCTCATTTTGTTTGTTTGTTTTTGAGACAGAGTGTCACTATGTCACTCTGAGTAGAATGCTATGGCATCCATTTGACCCTGCAATTCCTTTGTTGGGTATATTCCCAGATGACCAAAAATCGCATTACAACAAAGACATTTGTATCAGAATGTTTATTGCAGCCCAATTCATAATTGCCAGGTCATGGAAGAAGCCCAAGTGCCCATCGATCCACGAATGGATCAACAAACTGT